CATCCGCGATTTTTTTTCTTTAAGTCAAAATAACTTAAAAACCATAAATGATAGATATCGACATCTGTATTTTACATCGATTCAGCCTTCATAGTAACTCCTATGTACAAATTTTCAAAAACCTACTTATTTCACTTTCCCACAAACGTTTAACTAAAACTAATACACCCTGTATATCCTAACAATTCAATTATTAATTAATTAATTGATACTAGCGCATCAGGTTTTAATTTTCAGATTATAAAGTGGAAATAAAGAACCAAAATTCCGCAAGGTAAGAGTCATTGAATATTGATTTATTACTGAGCTAGCCGCGGTACTAATTATTTCATTACAAAAAACTAATTGTTACAGTACAATTTTTACCAGTGCCGTAGAGAATAAATGTTATTTTCTACAAGAGGGACTTGGACCCCTTTAGCTGATTCTTTATTTCAGCTTCATGTTTTCGAAGATGCAAGTTAGGACACATTGAGATTCAGGCACACATAGAGATTTTTACTGCTTTAAGATAGTTTTGTTAAACCTGTAATGGTTTAGATTTGAGTAGAGTAGCATCAGCGTTTAATGTTATGATCGAGACAAATACGAGAGTATAGCCACAGGTGGTATAATAGCGCTCCCTACAAAAATTCGATAAGAAAATTTAACAAAATGGCAAAAGATAGACATCATTAAACCAATTTACATACTGTTAACTAAAGTGGGACAAAGAACTCACAAGGGTTAGCATATTATCCTAAATGGTAATTCAGTCAAGTTTAGAACACGAGATATAGTTATGGCATTCAAAGACGGCGGACCCTCATTAAAATAGAACCTTATTGCATTGTGGTCAAGGCGTACCTCCAAGTGTTGCCACACTAAAGGGACTGAATTTTTTTTAATGAAACAACAGTTGGCGTTATGAAGCACAAATAAAACTACTTCGTTATCTACGACGCTTTCCCTTGTTAATTTACAAGAAACATAACTTTGTAATAGGCGATGTAACTTACCCCAAAATGATGAAGCATTTCTCTCGTTTTGTAACGTTTTACTATACAATAAATTATAATGTTTAAGCCGAACTTTCCATTTCCTAAGGGTTTTAAAATGAATTATGTAAATCCCCGGCAAATTTTACGTTCTAATATAACATAAGAACATAATTAGCACTTTACATTATTATTATATTACTGCTATGCAGCATGAATTCCCTCATCTCGTTAAAAGTTGTGCAATTGTATAAATAAAGTCTGTGTATTGACATTACCCAAAGCTAGCATTTTATTCTCGTTTCTACAGCAAGAAGCGTTCTGCAGTTTTTTTTAATATTGTAATTAGTACTTTTTAGGTTTTAATGAAAATGCAAAGGCGTGCCAGAAGCATTAGGGTGTAAAAAAATCGATAAGAGGGATAGTTCTCTACGGCTCGTACATCAGAGCTTGATTTAATTTGATTAAAAAGTGAGTTGGGTGTTATTTTGGGTATGAAAAATAGTTCGTGATTGCTAATTATCATTAAAACGAAATCAAAACGACATGTATATAGGCAATATATAGGTACGGCTTTTTTTGTTTATTGTTTGCCACTCCTTATAGATACATATATTATACCGTTGAGTGAATGATTATACTATTTTCAGCACGTCTGTCTAAAAGAATATTGCATGGAAAGTTTGGAAAACTTTGATTTGATAGTATTAACTTCCAGAAGGGGAGGATATATATTTTTGTAGTGGCGTTTGCGGTGGCAGTTGTTGAAAGCACAGGTGAACATTCTGCTATCGACACACTGATCTTATTTCCGATTTTTGCGTATAAAAAGGCTTTCCCGTGAGGATGATTAATATAATTCGGAAATTATAAAGCAAGTTCATATTGAATTATCTGAGATACAAAAGCCCATAGTAATAGCGACAAGGGATATATATTTTAAATTCCATCATTAGTAACGCCTGAATGAGACTCGTTACAAAAGCAAACCATTCCGAACACATTACGAGGGGAAGAAACTTGGCGAACGAGAGTTTCTAAACACGTGAAACTAAGAAAGATAAAATTAATTTACCGCAAATAAATGAACCGAAGAAAGAATGAAACCATCTACGAGAAAGAAAAACGTTAAGGCTCCCTTTATTTCGATTTCGTGCTAGAACTCACAGAACAGAAATAACATTTAAGGTTCATTAAATTTCCATTTGATTGTGAATATGAATATACAGTGTGTTTCAACTTGAGCACATAAACAACGAAATCTTAGATCTTTTAAGTTAACTAACTTTGCCATTGCAAACACATTATTGTATTCAGTTTACATTGCGCCCCACATTGAAAATGAAAAGTGAGCTTTAAAGTAGGATTTTTCTTAGTTTGCGCGCACGTCATCAATTTTGTTTTTGGGGAATATTGTATTGTAATGCCAACGTATTAACAAAATAAAAAAAAATCATTTTAAACCACGAATTACATGTTTGCGTTAGACTGATCAGTGACTTCACAATGTAACGGTCATTTTGCTACATTAACCGATAAAAAATTCGTTAGTTTCATAACGAACAATTGTATTACGTGTGATATTCTGCGCCAAAAGTTATACAAACCAAAAATGCCATCGGGTTTACCACGAAAAAGTAAGCATTATTTCTAATCTTATTCGATATTTTGAACGAAAAAGAGATAATGATGGTCCACTTTTAGCAGTCGCAGCAGTAAGAGGTGAGTGGTTACTTTAGTAAAGTAAGAATTCGTATACGTAACCAGTTTCATTTCACAAAGAGTTGCGGATGCATTAAATATTAGCCGGCGAACAGTTCTATTTCATTTTTAAATCGGAAAAACCTCTAGAACACAACCAGCGATTCGAAACACAGTAAGTTAAAACACACGTTGAATGATGAAATGTAGATAGGCGTTTATGTCAACTGTGCAAAGATATATTAAATTTTTTTTAGTTTAATTAATTTACAAACCTATTTATTTTTCGCAATAACTTAAATAAATAATTAATTAAATTATTTTTTTAAGTATTTGAAGTATTAAAAAGAACCACGAATGTTTTTATTGTTTTCCTATAAAGCGATCGATTTCGGGTTATGAGTTACCCATCATCAGGCTGTGCTAAAATTACAGGAATGTGAAGTTGAACAAAGAATTAAAATTATTATTACCGTCATTGATATGAGAAGCAGCGTATTCCTGTCTGGCATAACAAGGAATATTAGACGTGTGACATGAAATTTGAATAATTAAATTGATACTTGTATTTATAAGCAGTCTACTTTTGTATTTTAGAACAGCTGGATCTGAATCCCCTTCTGCAATCAAAGAGATGTATTTAATGGTTCCAATTCCAATGGTTCCTTAAGAAAAGTTGCTACGAATAACGGGCGATCTAAAATGAGTTACTGTCGAGTCGCCTTTGGAAGTTAAGTACGATTTCTCATGTAAACAAAAATTCCAAAGGTGACTCGCAGCAACTCATTTTTGATCGCATATATTCCTAAATTCCCTTTCATTTTTCGTCCCTTTATCAGCACATCCTTGTTTTAATTGGTTTGTATCATACGCGCGATTTGTAACGGGCATTTCAAATAAAGGGTTGACCATCCCTTACGTGTCTTAAACAACCTGAACTCCTTTCTCCGAAATTATTTTTTTTTAATTTGACGCCGTCACGGCTAGCTGTGACTTGAATGGTCTTCAGAATGATTACATTTCTCTTCTACCCGAAAACTAAATTTGAATTTCGTTTCTGGCCTTTTTGCTAGTAGATAATAGATATAATACGCAATTGTGGTAAATGAAATGAGTATATTGATTAAAAAAATATTAAGATCCAAATTTTTAGAACTTGATTACTTTTACCATGAATTCTGATCAAAAAATTCTAAATCGTGGCCACGTTCTTTCCTAACTGTCACTATTCATATAAAAATGAACATATTTTCCTCACAAAAAATACACTTTTCAAGTAATAAATTCGACCCCGTTTACAGAGAAATTCTTGCTAACTGAACACGAGTAATACTGACAACTCGCACTGAGCGTTACGCCGGCTCAAAATCGAATCCCTTAAAAAATCTCCTCCAGATTAATCCCTACCTTTCTTTTCTAATTAATTGACGTTTTAACTTTATGAATTAAATCGGTCATTTATAATGCAAGAGAGCTAGGGTCATAACTCAAAATGTCAAACACGTTCAGTTTTGCAAGGCTTGCAGTGAAATCACACTACGTAATTCTATATCAACAGTTTAACATGATAATTTAATCTACTCTAAATTCCGAAAAGACTGGCACCAAAGACTCCCAAAACTCATTTAAGAGGTACCTAAACAGGCACATATAACTTTATGACATGAAATATTACAGATGAACAAATTTATCCGGAACGTACAGACCGGAACAGCTTCTTTTGTAACTCGCGTTGCCGTATTTACCTCTCATATATCAATTTTTGATTTACCCGCGCTTTAAAACTAACATGTTCTCGTCTATTTCAAATACCAAATGTCAGAAATTCGGGCTACTACTTAATTGTGATATCAAATTAAATAAAATAGCTATTAAGATAACTAAGTGTTTTATAGGTACTTTAAAGGATGAAGCTTATTTAAATCCGAGCGACCGAGCGAGGTTTCAACGGGCAGAGTCTTTTAAACTATAAAACATCGTATTATTTTCAAGATTTTGCATAACACTCTGAAGCATATTTTATGAGAATTCGTCTTTATTAATATTTGATCATGAGAGAAAAATGTTTTTCGAGGCTGCTGTAGGTAGTAAGTAGTAACCATGGTAATAGAATCAACAAAATTAGATTTATGAAAAATTCAGCAGCGTATTTTAAGTAGTGTATAAAGGACGTTACCATTGACGATGTACTTTATAAGAAACAA